ATGCAGGAGTCCAGAGATGCGTTTCCTTCAATATCTGCTCGATCCCTGCCCCCTTCCCCCTCCCCCCCCCCCCCCCCCCACGGCATTCATTTCAAAATTTCCTGGTGCATCCATCATTTGCATCGCCGGCTCCCTTTTCTGAAATAAGAGAGACAGGGCGTCCTTTTGCCTTTCCCCGGGAGGCTGGGATCACCAGGCTTTCAAACGCTGGCCCGCTCTGGCAGTGTGATAAAGTTGAACTACCAGAGGATTTTTTTTTTTTTAATTTTACAACTGCGGAAATGAAAAAGTAAACAAGACCGGGACTGCATCGGTATTTAGGCTCCAGCTTTTTGTTGTTGTTTGTGTCTTTTTCTGTTTTAAGAAGGGGCCTGAAGGAACCATATAATATGAAAAATCCTGAGAAGTTTTATTAGCCAATAAAAAAAAACAAAAAACCTCAGTTCCTATTAACCACTTAACTCCTTGCTAGAGTCTCACACTTGCTTCCTTCTCACCTCCTTCTCTCCCTCTCAGGCCCAGGACGCAGGAAGGTGGTCCACCAGCCTTTCCCTACACAACCGGAGCTCACAGTGTGTGTTCCAGAAGCTGCGGTTGGGAATCACAGTCAATAATGTTCTCTGCATTTCTCATCTGTGAAGCCACTAGGAAGATGATCGCAATAAGGAGTCTGATTTTTTTTTTATGCCTCCAAATCCACACACAAAAAAGATTTCTCTCTCTCTCTCTCTCTCTCTCTCTCTCTCTCTCTCTCTCTCTCTCTCTTTGGGGGAGTGGGAGGGGGTAATCCTCACCCAAGGACATTTTTTCCCAGTGATTTTAGAGAGAAGGGGAGAGACAGAGAAAGAGAATCATCCGATGTGACATCAATTGGTTGCCTCCCACACTGACCTGGACCCTGCCCTTGACTGGAATCGAACCTGGGATCCTTCGATCCGAAGGCCAACACTCTATCCACTGAGCCAGCCGGCCAGGGCCAAGAAGACGGTTTAAACACACTGCCTAAAAGGAGGAAGGGCGCCGTGGCTTTCAAGATTGAAATATAAAGTGGCTGTTAGAGAAGACAGAATCAGGCTGAGGCATCGCTGGAATATGTAAAGATGGCTCCTCTCATTCAGGGGCAGGAGAATAGAGAGAGACTCACAGAGAAACTGAAAGTGAAACTGGTCCGATTGGCTGAGCGGTCCAGGATGGATGGAGTTGTAAAAAAATAAATGACCTAATTTAAAAAGGAAAGGATGTCAAAGGAGATTTAGGTCATTGCTATTCGTTCCCACACCATTAGGCATGTCACACGAGTATGTTGTTTGCTCTTTGCTGTTTTTAAATAATAAATTTGCACAGTGATATCAATCCATCACCCCATTGTGTGTTAGGAGTTGCTGGTACCTTCCTCTCTCAAAAACCCCCTAGCGCTCTGCCGCCGGCTCCTGTGTCTCCCAGCTCCCCGGAGCCTGTGCTGTGATCCCACTTCCGTTCTCCACACCCGCTGATCCAGCACCGCGGGCTCCCGGGGGAAATGTCCCAAGGCCTGAAGTGTACAGGCCACATGAGGCCTGGCTGCAATTCTGTGTCCTGTCTCTTGTTATGGAGACAAGAGTACGTCTTGAGGGGCTTTTGTGGAAGAATTTTAGCATTTTGCTATATGGCCTTGATTTCTTTAGGAGAATGACGGGGGGTTGGGGGGGGGGGGGGGTGCGGATTCTTTCTGTTGGTTCTGGGGTGGGACAGAAGGACCTGGGATGAAGATAGCAATCCAGGAGTTATATAAGCAATCCTCAAACAGAAAGCACGTTTTCCAGAAAACCCCACAGAGTGGCCAGACATTACTGCACCAAGATAATAAGACCAAGAATTAAAATAAGTTTTAGTAAAGGTTCAGTGGGTTCCCAGAAACTTGGTCCTTGGCTTTTCCAACTGCTTGAGCATGTCTGAACAGCAGGGCTGGTTGAATCAAAGAAAGCTTTTGAATAAAAGTTTTATAAAAATTAGTAATAACCCTTCTTAAATGTCAGCTTCACCGTGCTCCTGGAATTTGGGGGGCACCCAGTGCCCCTGGTCCCCTCTAAATAAACTATTTGAAGAAGGGTAATTGCTGCTTCACCACGTGTGCAGTGAAGGTGGTGCTCTTCATTTGCAGGAATAACAGACACCGGAGGCAAGTGAATGCTGTATCAAGAGGCATGTGTGTGTGCACGCCGTGAGCTTCATCTTCCCCTGAGTGTCTGCTAGGGTGCCTCCTTCCATCCTCCACCCTCCTGCCTCCTTTAGGGCATGTAGGCGCGCGCGCGCGCACACGCACACACACACACACACACACACACCTTGTAATATTACCCTTAGCACTGCAGTGGAGCCTTTTCTTTGCTGAATTTTCATTCATAACATTTCTAAAAACTTCAATTCCAAGGTCTCCTGACTGAGCAGCTACCGATGGAAAAGCCCTGGGAAGTCACAAAGTGCACAGAAAGAGTAGCCAGGAGGAGGGGATGCCTAGGCCTTTGCTCAGGGCTCCTAATTTAAACAGAGCATCAGCTGTCCCTGCACTGGCCCTACATGGCCACCCTTAAGCACCTCCAGGCCCAAGGAGAGAGCCAAGGAAGGAGGAGCAGAGATGGGTGGGAAACAAACTAGAGTAGCCAGTGTACGTAGACCTGGTGTGCAGGCCAGCTGTCTCCACACCTTCACAGTCTCTGCACCAGCCCCGGGCAGCTCTCCCCACAGGCATCCTTCCTGGCCCTCCGTGCTGACTGTAGGGGCAAATGTATGAGTTGGCCTGTGATCTCACAGATCTTGGCAGTCAGTTGAGTTGTCCCCAGACAGACATAGTAACTATGATAGTCTTATCATAAGCCTCCAACCTTTTTTGATGCTTCCAAACCATTGTTTCCTAGGATTATTCTCTAAAATGATTTTCAAATATTTGGGACACAGAGACCAGCTGACTGGCTGCCTGTTTACCTAACAATCTAGGAGGAATTGTTTGCTTAAATCGGACACCCGTGCCTATTTCTGTTGCGGCTCTTCAATGTGTCGTGATTGTGAGTCACCCGTTCCCACAGGGAATGAGAAGTGAGCCCACGGAGATCCCCAGGCCCTGCTCTCAGACTGTGAATGAGGGCTCCACCACCTCCTCCCTTGCCTTTTCAGGCTGTTTTCAAATCCCATAAATATAAACACGTGGCTCTTCAGCCGCATCTGTAGATAATAACTTCAGGGGGCTTCCTGTTTACATGGCGATACCCATTTCCCAGCCAAATAAACTCTGGGACAGAGAGCTGAGGTGTTTATGGGGCCATCTCGGCTGGGATTGAGTTAACAGGAAACACCCACTCTGGGAGAAATGTCTGATGATTAAATATTTGGGGGGCAGGGGGCACAAGGGGTCAAAAACACTGCAGGAATTGCTTTCTTCTCCTGCCTGTAGTTTCCCATAAGAAACAGAAGCAGCCATGATAAACATGGCCAAGCGTCCAGGCTTAACAAAGCCCACAGCTGTGCTGATCATGGCTGTACCGTGCAATGCAGAGAGGAGGAGGGATGGGGTTGGCAAGGCCGGGAGCCTCCCGCACAGCACACCCAAACCTTAGGGTGCCAGCAGGAGATGGGCTGGAACAGGCTGATGTACCCCCACCACTGGGAAGCCCCTCCGTCTTCTCCCTGGCCCTGACTGTAATGTTTCAATGAGCAATGTTTCCGCAAACCAGACCGGTCAGTAAGCCTAGCCTGAGAATTTAGAGAGAGCCTCTAGCCCAGCGGGTCTCAATTGGGGGAGGGGGCAGAGAGTTGTTCCTCCCAGGGGACATCTGGCGATTTCTGGAGACATTTTTCTTGGTCAGGACTGGGGCCGTGCCACTGGCATCTAGCGGGTGAAAGCCAGGGCTGCTGCTGAACCCCCAGTGCGCAGGGCCCCACTCCCTCCATACACACCGAAGCCCCACCCAGATGGAAACGTCCTAGTGCCATGGTCTAGCCCAGCGCCTTTCCATAAACCAAGAACCTGAGCCCCAGAGGAGACCCAGCTGGAGCGGGAGAGAACGCCACTGTGCCCACCTCCCATGCGACGCCTTTTAAGGTCACACAGATGTTTAATTTAAAAGGATAAATAAGTATACATCCTCAGAGAGTTGCAAACAAGTTCCCTGGCCTAAGTCCACTCAAGTGCTTTTAGGATGTCTCTTAGTCTTAGAAATGAGCTGTTTCCACGGTTTCTCAGAAAACAGTGCCCGAGGGCTAAGAGTAAGCAGATCTTAAGGAGGCCTCTAACTAGAGCGTGACGTGTGCCACTGGCCAGCTCTTGAGCTCCTCTACACTAGTTTCCTGGTCCCCGTTTTAGAACTGTGGTCAGCCAAGGCCTACAGACAGCACAGACGTAGAAAAAGCCACCACTCTACCCCAGCCCTCAGCCTCGTCACAGGGGAGGGACTTACCAAAAACAAACAATGGCCAGAAAAAAAAAAATCTGAAAACTACAGTTATGCTCACTAGTAGAATTTTTCTGAGGCTAGAGCTCTCCAGGCCAAAATCCTTTCTTACTGATCCTTGGGCTTCGGTTGACTGTCTTTTTAAGAACTCAAATGAGAGGTGGGAAGGCAAGTAGACGACCCACTGTGGCTGGGCAGCCTATGATCTGACTACAGGCAGGGGTGTACTTGCTGGCCCGTTCACGTGCTCAGAGATTAGAATCATGGAACCATCGAGGCTGCTGTCTTTACACGCTGACCCATCCATAGTTGGCCAAAGGGGTGAGCATTCTTTCCTTCAGACACAGGCTGATAAGGAAGTGAATTCGCTGCGAGATTCTTCGCCCACCCCTCTTCAAGAGGACAGGAACCCAGCGCTTACCAAGGTTTTTTCCCCCTCTCATCAGTAACACAGGCTCTCTGCTCTCATGCAGCCCGGGCAAGGCCTATGGCCAGTAAGTGCCCAGGTGTAGGCAGGAGCAGGCGTGAGACTAGAGAAGAAACCGCAGATGAGAAAAGACCCAATGTACACACATAACAAAACCAAAAAAAGCCATTTTATTGAAAATTAAATTCAAACTTCAAATTAATATTACAATCATGAGAAAAATGCCAAATAATTCAATTTACAGTTGCAACATACAATACAAATAGTCCCTTTGAAGTTCAGAGTAAACTCGTCCACAATCGTGACCTGTGGCACAAAGCAGAATTTGTACAATATGTGCATGGGAAGCAAATCTTGGGCAATAGCGATTGGAAAAAAAATAAAAATGAAAAGCTTGTATTTACACAAAATGCTACACATATTTTTGTTCCACAGAAATCTAAGAATGGTAAAGCATATCCAAAAAAAAATGGAATTTTATTCAGAATACCTAAGAAATTACTGTAAGTTATGGTTTTTGCTGATATAGTTCAAAGTACTGCAGTAATAAGCAAACAGTTATTTGTAAACATGAAGTAAACAAACATCTAAAAAATCCTCACATAGAAAATATTTTTTAAAGGCATTATCTTTTTTTTAAGAATAACAAATCAAGGTTTGGAAGAGCCGTCCTTTATTTTATTTGTCCTCGTTCTTTCGGATATCATCGATATTTTTGCTAAAGCTTTGTGTTCCCATGTATTACCCTGGACTCTGAGTCAGTCCCTTTCCTGGGAATGGAGGGAGCTCTCTAAGCCAGCAAGCAAAACCCTTCTCCCCTCTGAATTTGCAGTGGCTGGTCCCTGATCGTGGGATTTCTCTGCTCATTTTTGAAAGGCTCCGGCGGGGGTAAGACAGTCTGAAGAGCAAACAATAGCTAATCTGCCGCGTCTCCCAGTTCCAGGCTGGATGTGATTTCACAATCTAAAGCCAAGGCTGTGGTGCCCGCTCTGGAGCTCTGACAGGTTACACTGGGGGAAACCCTGGGACAGAGGAGCGGCTGTGGGCCACGCTGCGAACGCCAGCAACCTGTGTGCTCTTTCAACCCGAAGGAAACAGAGTGTTGGCTCGTGCGTGGTGCCAGAGCAGCGGTAAGGCTGTGCTTTGGTTTTGAATCACAAATCATACTTGTGACCCAGTGCAAATGAAGGGTTCATTAAAAAAAAAAAAAAAAAAAAAAAAGTAAAATAAAAATTTAACCCCCAGGCCAAAAAAAAGGGCAGAATTTGATCTAAAAATGTGAATTACCCTATTGGAGTGGTTGGAGTGAGGGTGGAAGGATGACGTGCTTGAATGTTTCCCATGGAAGAAAAAAAAAAGTTTAAGTGTTCCTGGGTTGCTGCCTGCAGCCACTATAACAGCATTTCAACACAAAAGCATCCCTAAGGTCACTTGGTATGTGTACTGTAAACTTAAAAAAGCCCTTTTTACATTAGAAACTGACGTACAAATATAGTACCTTTTTTTCTTATTAAATAGGGTACAGCTGGCACTGGCGGTAACATTTTTATGTCAATTAATTTAAGTTGAAATGTGTAACCAGACACTGGCTTCTTTAAGTGCTGCTGAAACAAACACACACATTTTACACTTACAAATAAATGGACAGTGGCGTGCTTCAAGCTACCACACACAAACAATAAATAGTATCAGTGACTACTTCCATCTTCCTTAAGTAATAGAGAAGTGGCTTCTTGATCTAAGCATACTTGGTATACAACCTTTAGAAGGCAACGTGTTTTGTTTTGGTTTGGTTTCCCTTCAATTCTTATTAGAAGGAATGGGGATGAATTCCAAGGGGGACTCCCAGGCGCGAGGCACAGGTCCCACAGCCCGGCAAGCTGTCCTGCAACACTGGGCGGCTTAGAAAGGTGGGCCTGAGAGTCACTAGAGACAGCCAGGGGCCGCTGGGGGCTGGAGGCAAACCTCTACCCAGTTCTGCCAACAGGGGCACAGAATTCAAACGAAGGGGCCCTGCCCTGTCGGGGAGGAGGGCGGGGATGGGCCTGGTGGTGTCATGACATGGTCCTGGCTTGGATTATTAAGGATTCACACTTGAGAATTCGCCACGTGGCCGCCAGGAGAGGTCAAAGTGCATCCTACAGGAGGGCTTTTGCTCAAGTTCACAGACAGTAGTAGACACCAGACGCCACATAGTTTTGCCTACCCTTTACCCTCCACTGTGAGACATCCGAATGTCGGAGATTGTATGTGGGCCCTGTGAAGGCTGGTATGTTCTCTCAGATCGGCCCTGTGCTGGAACTGGCCTACTGCTTCAGAGGACCCTGCTCCCATAAGGCAATGGCTTAGGTCTGCTCCTTTAAATGCAAATTCTGTGGAGAGGTGCCAGGGGCTCCCCTGACCTACTGCTTGGTAAGGCGGGTGCGCTGGGAAGCGCTGGCGCAGCTCTGCGTTCCCGTGCTGTGTGTATCATTACTGCTCCCTTAGCCGCAGGTATGGCTGTAGGCGCACTGTGTCTTCACTATGCAGACTGGCGAGTTAGATTCTGCTAGGAAACCACAGAACGTTTTCTGCAGTTCAAGGACTCTCTTGTGCTTGTCTTTTTTTTTTTTTTTAATATGACAAGAGTCATCGCTATTTGTAATAAATGAGAAAACCACATCACTCCAGCATTTCATGCTGATAAAGGGCAACCTAAGTGATAAAGGGCTAAGAGTTGTCATTTAAAATCCCTAATTATTGCTTTAAAAGGCAAAGCTGTGTTAGAGGCAATCAAAGATCTGAAAGAACTAAACAGAACATTTCCTTCATACATCACAAAAACAAGCTACATCTAAAATATTTGGAGATGGAAGTATTTTTAAAAATCACATTGTGCCCGGATGAACTGAAATTGCTTAGCAATATTTCAGGTATGGCTCTAGCCCCGAAGAAATTTGTTATTTAATAAAGAGCACTTTTAGAGACCGAAGTCAACACATCAATACACTAAGAAATGTTTCAAGGGTCCAAATGTCATTAAATAATTATAAATATATCTTTAAAGTTATATGACCATTCACTTAGCAAGTTACCTCAGATTTTACACATATTCATAATTTAAAAAAAAAAACAAACAATAACACACAGCCAACACAAACACTATCTATATCATTATGGCTATAATAAGGTATTGCCATTTTCAGTTTTGCATAAAAGGAGGAGAGGGGGTTTCAGGATGGTATTTCTTTTTGGTTAAATGGGAAAAGGGGAGGAAAAAGTACCAAAAAAGTAAAACAAAATAACCTTTCCTGATCAGTATTTTTGAAGTCACTTTCTTAAAGTAGGAAAAAAGAAAAGAAAAAAAAAAAAACCGAACCGACCAGTTCAAAGGGGTACTTGCAGCAAGTCTGAAGGCCAGGTTGGGAACAGTTACACTGCCACGGAAGCATCCACGCTGCCTCCTTCCCTTTGCGTGCACCACGACTGGCTCTGCCAGCGGGTCTGCAGGTGCACGGGCCTCACGCGGCTGCACCCGTGAGGACGTGTGGTTTGAGCAGAGAGGAAGCGCTTTGCTCTTCTTCCTCCTGAACCTGGAGTCCACCTCTCTGAATCGGCATATGAACAGGTTATTGATAACAGACCAAACAACAGTGACAAAAATACCTTTTTTCTTTTGTTTGTAAATGTGTGTGTGCGTGCGTGCGTGCATGTGTGTGTGTGTGTGTGTGTGTGTGTGTGTGTGTGGTGTGTTTCTATTTAAAGAAAAAATAGATCAAAAACAACCTGAAACCTGATTATGATTGTCTCTCTCGGGCCTTTTGCTTCTCAACAGCTACCCTCTTACGGTTGCAAGAGCATGACCGAGTGAGTGAAAAATCTTCTAAGAAATAGGCACTTTGTAGATAGCTGATCGATATACATATATACGCACTCTCTCTATATATATGTATATATTGAGACATTTGGGATGTGGCTCCCAGATACCGCTGGGCCACGGCTGAGGAATTTCAATACGGTCGCCAAACGGATTCATCCATTCTGCCACTAGAATTCAAGACAGTTGGGGAACTGCTGTGGCTTCCATCAGCGTCAACACCATCATTCTGGTTAGGCAAATTGGGGTTTAATAGCGTGCTGCCATTCGAGGTGGTGGTGCATGGCGGGAGCATTCTGGAGGGAGAGCGGTCTCCCCCCGGCACCATGGGGAACTGATAGGATCCTGACGAAGTGCCATAGTAGAGATATGGAGTGCTGCTGGCCTGGAAGGGTCCGCTCTGGCTTTGGGAAGAGCCGGGGTAGGGTGGTGGCAGGTAGGTGTGGTAGTGGGTGGTGGCGGACATACCGAGGGACATGCCTGAGGTGACTGGCGGGGTGTAAGTAAAGGTGGCTGGATAGTGCATTCGTGGGTTGGAGAAGCGGCTCTCAGTGAGGGATGAAATGCTTGGGAACTGCCTGGGGTCTGAAAAAGGGCCCAGTTCTGAAGCACCTAAAAATTACAACAGAAGATGGGGGGGAAAAAATCTGTAAATATCAATTAAAATAATGAAAGAATTTTTTACAAGAAAAAAGAAAACTTTAGCTTCCCCCACAGGAACAGCAAGCCACAAACAGACCTTCAAATGCACAGGTCGCTGCAGTCTTTTTTTTTCCCTCCCCCCCTCCTTAGCGGCATTTTGTCCTTAAGCTCCTCACCCCCAGAGAACATCAAAGGGCTTTAAAAACCCAAACGTGTGCTAGGTCCTAGGTGTAAACCAACCCAACACTCATCATATAGATTCACTCACCAGACTTTCACACTGAATCTTCATTGATTGTTTTCTCTCTTTTTGTTTCTCGTTGCACCTCACATATTTGAAAGTGACATTTTTTTACTAAGGCATACGAGCTTCATTTTCTCAACCAAATGGAAAGGAATTCCAAAACCATCAGTTTTGCTATTGGTACTCTTGGCCCCCCCTTCATCAATGAAGGAACTTTAAAAAGATACCCTAACATGTTCCTATCACTTCTTTTCAACTTGTGAAATAATTTAAAATCTTTATCTTAGAAACAGATTTCAAAAATCAAACCAGACTGCAATCAAAGAAGATTTCAATGTATGCTGAACTAAATTATCTGGGGATATATAAGGAGGGTCTAGCCCTTAGAAATTCTCCCGAGGGTCATAAACTAAATAAGTAGCTTTAAACAGGGGGCTTATGCCTGACCATAGGTTGAGCATCGACCTATGAACCAATTCCTGATCAGGGTACATGCCTGAGTTGCAGGCTCGATCCCCAGGAGGGGGCATTCAGGAAGGGGCCAATCAATGATTCTCATCACTGATGTTTCTCTTCTCTCACCCTCTCCCTTCCTCTCTGAAATTAATAAAAATATATTAACAATTAAGAAATGAAAATAAATAAAAGGAGGGCTTAGTACCCAGAAATCATTGCATTTCTAGCCTCGATAGTAGACATAGGACTGATTTAGGCCAGGTGCTGACAGTAGTTTTTGTGAAAGGCTCTCTGGGTAGGGGACCCGTGAGGAGGGCACGTCACCATCCATGTAGCAGGCCCCCGTACCACGTCCTACAGAATTCGCTTCGGGTCACTTTGAACAGGTAACAGGGAGACAAAGATGGTTTCCCCTGAAATGCGAAGTCCTTAGCTGCTAAAACCAACAGTGTGCTTCCTTAACTGATGTTTCTGGTGCTGAGCACATGAAACCACAGTTATAAACCACTTCATGTGGAAATCAGTTTTCAAAGATCGGGTTATGATTTTCTAAAATTGACAGAATTGTGACAAGCCCTTTCATGATACCAGTGTTCTTAAGGTTTTGACCGCATCTGAAATCTTCCAATTCTTTGAATCTCGTGTATTTGCTTTTCTGATAGCTGTTCTCTATCAGGGGAAGCACCTGGGAACCCGTGAAGCCTTGAGGAGTAGGTACTTCTTCAGCCCCATTTTTATTTAGCACTTGTTCTTAGATGCTCCAATACTTGTTGAGTGAATAACGCTAATACTTTTCTTTCAAGGTGCCGAGTGCGGGTTGTTCATTTTTGTTAAAGTGCACACTGCCTGTGACCTTCATAAAATGCCAGGACTTTGTGCCACGGTGTGCATTTGTAATAAAAACGTGACTGTTAAAAGCCATCTGTAGTTAACAAAAGTTTTTCTCACCAATCCGACAGTAGCCATCAGGCAGCCCACCCGGCCCAGCCCAGCAATGGTTAAAAGTCTCACCTGCCTGGCTCTTCTTACTGAGAGGGGAAGGCCAGAGGCAGAAGTCAGAGGTGGCAGTGTCATCATCTGTAAAACGAGGGGGATGAGCTCTAAGTTCCCTTCCATCTACGTTCTATGCCGCGAACTCCAAGACAGAAGGAGAAGCAACAGCCGTAAAGGAGCGGGAGGCAGGGAAGTTCCCACCCCCTCATTAGTACTTTCCCGGAATCCACAGGCCCCAGAAGCAGAGGGTAGAAAGCTAGTGAGCAGCTTCTAATACCAGAAGCAAACACTTTCAAGATGACAAACCAAAACTAACACCGTCTGGGCAGTTACCCTCTGCTTTTTATAAATTCTTCCATCCTCCACCGGCCTCTACCTAAGCCCTCCCAAATACGAAAGTCTGACAAGCTCAAGCTGAAACATGGAGAAGTAGCGATTATGACAGAATCGCAAATGGGAGCAGACGAGATGGAACGTCTCCCCGCCCCGTGCTCATGAATGCCGTACAGGAGACAGGCACACCGCGAGGCCGCAGATGTTCCTCGGCCCCCTTTCCCTGCAGAGCATCTAGGTGAACTTGAGTTGGCAGAGCTAATAGTTACAGGCGGGCCACTTCTGTACACATTAAGCTCAATGCTCGGATCATGTGAAAGAAACCAGAATAATGGGAGCCATTTCCAACAGAAGTCACACTTAAAACATCAACGTCTGCCCCCTACTCCCGGCCCAGAAGCAGAGAGCTCACACAGAGAGGCTTGCCAACGTAAAAAACTGCTTCTCGTGGGCATTTGTACTTAAAATGTACTGTAGTCATAATTAAAATTCCATGTGGTTTCCCTTGTTTTGATGCAGAAGCCTTATTAAAACCCTTTATGTGGGGCCCGCCAATAAATTCCAATATGGTTTTGAATTTATCCCTCCACCTTTTCTATTTTACCTGATACATTTTGCTGATTTTTTTTATTATCCGTAGCATGCCAGGATCCCTGCACTTTTTCAGTTTATGGATGCCAGCTAATGCAAATTGACATTCATTTTTCAATTAATGAGCTCTGGTTGTGGTTTATAGGAAACAATGCAACAAATTTCTGCTAAGTTTACAGAATTTTGACCAATCATTTTCGGTCCCTGGAGACTGTCAGGTTTTGAGCAGTAACTCCTTCTGGGCAGAGAGAGCTAATGCGAACATTAAATAAATGACACGGTAATTTTTATAACTTACAAAAAATAGAACTTTCTGGAAGTTGCTTAGTCATTTTGTGTTTACAAGAAATGTTTCTGAAACATACTGCAATGTGTTCTGTATGAAGAACACAGTATCATATGAGATCTCTTACATCAGCGATTTTCATCCAGTATGCCGCAAGAATTTTTAAAATATGCAATACCTGACTATGTAGTCAGGGGCACTGACCTTTTTTCTGTGATTCTGTAAAAAAAAAATGACAACAGCCAACATAGCAATAGCTGTCTGGTGTTTATGAATCAAAATCATACTTATTTTCTTTTGTCAGATCAGCAAAAAATATACTTTTGGTGTGCCACAGATGAAAAATACTTGAAATATACTTTTATGTGTGCCATGAGATGAAAAAAGTTGAAAATCGCTGCCTTATAATAATCTATGATGGGGCGATGTTAACAACATAAACCCTTTCCTCATCTTCAATTTATTTATAATAATCATTGCAGGAGTAAATGGTATAATTAGTTTTTCTTTCATCGAATAGTGTTCTATCTCTAATTCTAATTTCTGTTGTGTATATGGACTCAGGTGTTCTGTTAGACAGCCTTCTTGGGTTATTTTGACACTGTGTCCCGAATTATTCATTCCTGTGCCACTAGCCACATTACAACTATAAATTTTAAAAATAGCCCTAGGTATTATATCAATGAAAGTAAAGAAAAGATGAATCTATTTTTTAAAAGGGTCAGGATTAAAGCCTGGAGAGTTTGGGACGTACTGTTACCCAAGTCTAATTTTATAAATGTGAGGCCAAGGTTCAGTAACCGCTCAGAGCTGTGCCTTGTAGCCTCTGAGCTCCCCAGAGAAGTTTAAACTTCTGACTACAACCTACTGATTCAACTAAGCCGGTGCTGCCAGAAGTTACTTGGAGCCCATGATAAACGGGGAACATCTTCCCGATGGGCTGGTTTTACTCCACCTGGAATCAGGGTAGACCATACAACAAACATGGATATGATATGGGCTAAATGCAACACCTGGGTGAATTTTTAGACAAACAAAAAAAAAAAACAACCTTTGCACTTGTGAAGCTTTAGGCTATGTCTCCAGATCCCCTAAAGCACCCTCTTACCTTCCCCTGCTGGGGAAGAAAAACTCAAATCCCTCATCTACTGAGATAGAAAAACTCAAATCCCTCATCTACTGGGTAGATCATCCTAATCTAACCCGTTGATAAATAGGAAAGGGAAGGTCCAGAGAAGGGGAGCCATTTATTCTACAAAATCAAGCAGTTTAAGAGAGATTGAGCCACAAACTGGCCAGACCTCTTTGACTTCAAACCTCTTTGCAATCTCATTTGTCCTGAAGGAATCTGGTTGACACAATCACAGATACATATATATTTCCTGCCTTAAAAGTCTATTTGCATAAGTACATTCACCTGAAAATAGTTAAGTAGGCTCTTCTGGTGCCTACATATTGGCCCAATGAGAGTTACGGTCTTTGGAATACTATTAAGAACGCTTTTAAGTCCTGTTGTTGATCTAACCTACTCAATAGTGAGCAATTAGTTCGGTTGCTTATGACATAATGTGAATGAGACCAAGGTCGAGGGTTTGATTCCCTAAAGACCTGCTGGCTTCCTACAGATACATTTCATTCCAGACCTGCTATCTGCACCCCTAGCCAGTCAGACAGCTTGCAAATGAATGTAGCTATCACAAACACAGATGCAAAAACCTTGCTCATTCAAATAGCACCAGCAGCAGCAGCAAAAGCTTTTCACAACCTCATATACGTGGGGAAGAATAGTTTAATAAGATGCCCTTGACACACAAATAAAAATAAAATCAATGTTAAAAATAAAAAAATATATATTTCCCCTTCCTCCGCCCAAGATCTATGGGTCAAAAGGAAATCACCTCTCTTTACCCAACCAGGTTTCTTGGGTCTTCAAAGCAAGAAAGTGTGGTGGAAAAAAGGGAAACCAAGATAAGGGAAGATAAAAGAGAACCTCTGATCTTTAATACTGGTCGCCTGCAACTCCCCACTCAGCACCTTCCACACACTGCTTGTTAATGCCAGCGATCCTGCCCGGGTCACGCTTAACTCGTAACTACAGAGTGGGCTGTTGAGGGCAGAGATCTGTAGAACCCTTGTTTATCTCCCCTTCAGTGCTCAATAACAACAATACTTGATGTGTCCAAGCCTTTCCCTAGTACTTGAGCATACATTTTCTCATTTAGGCCCTCAATAAATAATGGTTGGTTGACAATGAGCAAGGAGATCTCTAGAATGAAAGGAAATAGTAGTGTTGTTTTTTTAAATAACAGACTGGGTACTCGCCATTTGAGGCTGTCAGCTAGGAAACACTGTGCTGTGTCTCGTGCGCCATAAACAGTGGAATTACACATCCCAGCTGAGGAGGAAGGTCGGGCCCAGGAAAAGAAAAAGGGGCCTAAATCCAGGCGGGACATCCGTCGGCATATTTAGAATTGTCTGCCCTGCTTCTTTAACGCAAGGGTATAAATGTGCATCATGAAAAGCCATCATACTTCTCAGCAGTGAGGTGTGAACTTCCAAGCTTCATTGGGGCTTTTTAAGTGATAGGAGTTATTGCTCCAACAAATCTCACATAAAGCCCAAGTACTTTTTCTGAACCCCCTTGCGGCGTTCTTCCTACTGGAACATATAATACACAAGCTCTCTAGGGCTGTTCTCCTCTAAGAATCGTCTTCCCCTCTACAGCCTTTTGGCGGCCCCCCCACAACTGCTCTATTATATGATTTCCTATTGCACTCCCGTTCCAATAGCATTTACTTTCCATATCATTCTGTTGGGCTCTTGGTCAATACTTTACTGCATTATTAGCTGTTTCGTAGCCTGTTCTCTCCAACTGTAGAGTAAGCTTTGGATGGTCAAGGTCATGATTTATTTTCCTCGGCTATCCCTCAGAACCTTCTATACTCGAAGAGCTTACACTTTTTTTTTTTTTAATTTGGTGTATGAGTGGAGGGATACAAGAATGAATAAGTGAATTAGGGATCAGGAACTCTGTATGATAACTGGTATATTTTTGACACATTAAAAAAAATTAATATAGTAAGAACTAAGCAATGCTGGCGTCCAACCTGAAACTTAATCTGAATACCATTCCATACCCATAAAATTCTCTCTAAAGAGTGTTCAAAGCTCTTCCCAGGCATCACTACGTCACCTGACCTCATGTTTCACACAGGCGCCCGCATATGGCAGTTGCCACTGGTGAACAGACAGATGCCTCTGTTTTGTCACCGGTGTTGTCCCCAGTCTCCTTAGAGACTGTATCTGTGTGTAAGTCTACACTGAGGAGCCATGGGGAGAAGACATGAAGGAGGAAGAGGGCCATGCCTGTCTGGCCCACAGGCAAGTTAGTGAGCACACTCGCCCTAGGGCCCCAGGGTAACCGCTGCCCCTGCAGTCCTGTTATTTAATGTTTGGAGTAGGTGATAAAGATAACCGTGGGTGAAGCTCACGTGCTGCATGAATTTCTAGACTAATATATAGAGCTGGTGTGTCAGAGTTGTCAGGATTATAGACGGCCTTTGTAGATGAAGAAACGGAGATACGGCGGGTCTGAGTGGCATCATAAGATTAAAACGTGATTCTACCCAGGTGGGAGCCTTCTACTCCACCTCTGCTGCCGCCCACAGCATGACGGGGGAAGGGTGGAGGAGCAGCTCCCTGGCTTTCCTTAGATCTGCATTTGTGAAAACACACCTGGAGGGGAGCATCTTCCACTTACGCTACCTTTCCAGGTGGCAGGGCCTTAAAACCAGAGGGTGTCACCCCCAACCAGCACAGGCCAGCCACTTCTCACAGGCATGACTCAGCAACTCTGTCAAAAATAAAGAGGAGG